GTTTTTTAACCGCTTTTTCTTTTTCATTTTAAACTTTAATATATATATATATATATATATATATATATGTATATATATATATATATATATATATATATATATATTAAGAATTACAAGTGAGTAATGTGAATCTCATTGGATCTCACCTCTACATAAGGGTAGAATGATGTCTTTCCCAGTCTCTCCCAATATAAACCAGTCTCAAAACGCAGCTTGTACATGCCAGGGATGAAAGCTTCCTGACTGATTAGTCCTGGGCAGCAGCCATCTTCATTTGTTGTCCTGAAAGATGAGATGGAAATCTTAAGTAAAATCAATAATATGACATTTCTAACACCAAATGTAGTTCAAACAATACAACTGCTTTGAATTAAATGGAGCAACAAAAGAAAGTCTTAAATTAAACTAATTTTCAAAGAGATAAACACAATAAAATCCTACCCAACACCGATCATAGTCCAAATCATCAGGTTGGTGTCAAGTCGATGCAAGCTCAAGGCGATCTTGGCGCCTGGGACTCCATCACTTGTGTTCACCACGTAAGTGGTCAGAGGGCTGGACTCTGCTCCTGCCATGTTCTGATGGAAACATGTGCCCAGGTCAGTTCATTTTGGTTTTAGTCAGAACACCAGCAGCAGTGTTCTGAGGATTGACCTGTGAAGACACTGTTGCAGTAAGATAAACGCATGGATAAGTATCTCTAGATCTTGCTGAGCCATTAGTCCTTTAATCCTAGAAAGCTTGACCTAAACTTCAGCCTGATCTCTAGTTTCTATCAGTAATAATTGAAGCTGTACGTTGACTCTAGATCGTCCAAAGATAAAAATGTCTGTTTTGTTTCTGTTCAGCTGAAGAAAGCTATGGCACATGCATGTGTTGCTTTGTTCTTTGTTCAGAGCTTGGATAGGCTTGGAGTCACCTGGTGGGATTGTAATGTGTAGCTGTGTATCAAATAGATAGTTGAGGTAACTAATCACATTACTTATTATAATCAGAGGATTACTATCATATNAAGTCTTTTTTATATGGACAAAAATAAAGATTAAAAAATAAGTTGCTCTTGGGGGTCCCCCGGTGGCCGCGGTACGTACCGCACTACACGGTGTCGTGCTGCAATGAGCAGAGCGCATCCAAAGCTCCGGTGGAAGATAAGTTAGCAAAACAATGTCGCAAAAAAGGACTTATCCTTAAGGGAGAGAGAAAAGAAAGAGGAAGAAAATGAAAGAAGAGAGAATAGAATAAAGACAAGATAAAGGTATGTTTTTCTTGGTAATGTAATATTTATCAGAAAGATTTGTGGAGCTACTATTAGAAACTTAGCGACCTGGAACGGTCCAGTTCAACAGCCAAACATTTATGCTACAATGTTTATTTTTGTGTGAAACTGAGTTTTAACTTTAAATGAGTTGATTTTCATGGATGGCTCTGTATATTTCTTGTCAGGATCGGTGGTTTGTTTTGTTTTGTCTTTTCTTTTTTGTTGTTGTTGTTTGGAAGCCTGCTGCTTCCCACTTCCTCCACCAGATGCCGCCTAGGAGCAGAGCCCCTGGAGAAGCGCGTGGTCGAACCCATAGACACACCTGTGGCGCATTATCTGACAGATGCTGTGGATATTTAAGAAGCGGCGAGCTGACACTTCTTTGCCTGAGTGTTTGTTTACCTCGGTAACAAATCGTTCCAGAGAACGGCCCTCTGAGCATTTTCCCCGAGATAATCGCGTCCTGTGTTTTTCCTCTTGTCAGGTTTACCTGGATTCCTCCGGAGTTCCTCGAGAAAGAGTTTCCCGTGGTTTTATCCCGGACCGCTGTCAGCCGCCAGCAAGACTTATCTGTCCACCCACCAACGGTTTATCGTCTCTCCACGCCGCCCCTGGATCCTTCTCTGCTCCTAGTAAGCCTCTCCCCTCAGTATATCCCTTCATCCACCCCCCTGGATTCGCTGATTACTAACCGCTTCCTCTCGTTGACAGTGGCTGAACTGGTTATCCATTCCAGACTCCTGCTCCGTGTTTTTCTCCTACAGCTTTCCCCCCCTTCAAATAAACTTTATTGTTGTTTGTACACGCGTCTGCTGATTGTGTTCGTGCATGTGGGTTCGTAAACTGGAACCAAACA